GTCACTGCCACCTGTAAATAATTAATAGCGGTCGGCTGTTTAAAAAAAATAGGGACTCGGGGTTGATTTAATTAATTGGGGAAAGCCATTGGCTCAGATTTAGTTAAAATTGGGGGTAGTTTATTGTTAATTAGTCAATGAGTTGATGGTTTTGATGAATTAATTGGGGCCCTATTTAATGAGGTTGTATTAATGACCTATACTAATTATTTCATTAAATCAATTGGAATTGATTAATAAGAGGTTATAGCTCTTAGGAAATTTACCATTAACTCCTTAGCCTTTATTTATTTACTGTCTAGATAGGGACCGATAGGAATAGAGAAAAAGAAATAAAAAGGTAATTAATGGCTATAAATTAAGTATAGGGCTGTACGGATTTTAGTGTTAACCACCGCTGAGATTGGATTTAGGAACGAGTAAACAGGGCATTACTTTCATAGCAATAGCACTTAATGGAATCTTGACTTCGACCAATCAAGCTGGTCGGTCTGAGGCTCGAGCCAAGTGTGGTGGGCGAAGACCATCTGGTGCAGAATGGCTGAGCAGGCAATTCCAGTGCTCCTGGGGAGGGCCCGCGGAGCCAAATAGACCCTTTGTGGCTTCAGCTGGCTCTTCGAGATCCATTGCCCCCTAGTGGCTTGTTGGATGAGCTGGTCGAGGATTGGCATGACTGACTCTCAGCAGCCATCCACGAGATCACTCTCAGACGTCCTCTGCGCCCGCGCTCTAGGCTGGCTCCTTGGTATACCCAGGAGATGAGGCTGATGAAGTGCGGGCTCAGCCGACTAGAGACAGTGGCAGCGTGTTCACAATGAGGCTACAAGAGCATCCTATAGGACGTTTATGAGATCCTATGAGATGGCAGTCAAGGCAGCGAAGGAGTTCTACACAGCCACGATTCCATCTGTTAGCTCACACCCAGCCCAATTGTATAGAACAATTCGGTCTTTGACAGCTCTGCCACAAGGCAGGCAAAATGTTAGGGAATTGGATATAGGCTGTGAGGCTTTTGTGAGCTATTTTGCAGATAAAGTCTTGTCGGTCCACCATGACCTGCCGGCCACATTTGAGACAGTGAGTGAATTCGAGGCTCCATACGCGTCTTCTGGTCCAATTCTGGATTATTTTGATCGATTCAGCCTTGAGGAAGTTGACAGATTGATCTCAACAGTACACCCAACCATATTCAGCCTAGATCCGTGCCCCTCCTGGCTAATTAAAGTCAGCCACAAGGGGTTTCGAGGAGCCCTCAGGGATATTATCAACAAGTCCCTCTCTGAGGGGCTGTTCCCGGGGGCTCTTAAGGAAGCAATGGTCCGCCCTCTTGAAAAAACCATCTCTGGATCTGGCCGAATTGGCCAACTATCGGCCGGTTTCCAAGTTGCCCTATTTGGACAAACTAATAGAGAGGGTGGCGGCGATACAGTTGCAGAGCTTTCTGGATGACGCTTCCATGCTTGATCCCTACCAGTCTGGCTTCTGTCCAGATCATGGGACGGAGGCAGCGTTCGACAGTCGATCATCAGCTGCTCGTCCACTGCCTTGACTTCAATGTCCATATCGACGATGCGGCTTCCTCTTGGGCGGTGGACCTGGCATCATCTATGGCGGCGCTAGGGCTCTCCCAATATGTAACGGCCCCTACTCACCGAGCCAGTCACATGCTCGATTTGATCTTTGCGGCGGGGGTTACAGTGGACTGGATCACTGCTATGGCAGTGCCATGGTTTGACCACAGATTGCCCAGAGGCAAGGGCTGGGTTGTCACCAATATGCGGATGACACCCAGCTCTATCTGTTGTTGGGCAGCCAGTAGGGCTCTACCTCGGAAGACCTGGACCGGGGGCTTCAGGACGTGGTGGGATGGCTGAGACTGAGGCGACTGAAATTGAATCCGAGAAAGACGGAGGTCCTGTGCCTGAATCGCAGTGGTTCTGGGGTGGAAATCCCATTACTGGCCTTCGATGGGGTGCCGTTGGTGCCGGTGCCGCAGGTTCGGAGTTTGGGAGTGCTCCTGTACGCCTCCTTAACAATGGAGGCCCAGGTAGCAGCCACTGCCAAGGCAGCCTTTTACCATCTTCGGCTGATTAGGCAGTTGGTTCCCTTCCTCGTGCGCAAAGATCTGGCGTCAGTGATCCATGCTATGGTCACCTCGAGGTTGGACTACTGTAATGCTCTCTACATGGGGCTGCCCTTGGGGCAACTTCGAAAACTGCAGCTGGTGCAAAACGTGGTGGCCAGGCTGTTGATGGGTCTCCCGATGCGGGAGCACATCCAGCCTGTGCTAAAGGCGCTGCACTGGCTGCCAATAGCATTCCGGATTCGCTTCAAGGTGCTGGTTTTGACCTATATGGTCAGGGACCTGTCTACCTGAAGGATCGCCTTTCCCCGTATGTTCCCTAGAGAGCACTGAGATCTGGGACGCAACACTGCCTGACCCTTCCTGGCCCTAAATAGGCCAGGTTGACAACAACTAGGTCTAGAGCATTTTTTCTAGCTGCACCAGCATATTGGAATGATCTCCCTAGTGAGATCCAGGCCCTGCGAGATCTCCAGCAATTTCACAGGGCCATGAAGACGGAGCTTTTCCACCAGGCATATCAGTGAGAACGACGGTATGCTAGCCAAGCCTCGCCGACCCGCAAAGGCATGTACTCTGTATAGGTAGATAACAATGGGGTCGATGTTTAGTTGTAATGATATACCGAGCCGCTTTGATTCATATTTATTGTATTTATGTTGTTTTATGGATTGATTGTTTTATGTACTGTGCTGTGAGCCACCCTGAGCTGCTTCAGTGGAAGGGCGGGATAAAAGCTGAATGAATGAATAATTAAATAAATAGAATTCCAACAGTAGCATATCTAGTGTCGAAGGAAAAACATTATAGAGTTACAGGGAAGTGAGTGTGACCAGTCTGGTGATGTCATTATCATTTCCTGCAATACAGTCCCTCATCCCATTATTCTTAAAACAGCCACCACAAGAGGCAATGAAGTCAAGAAATAATTAACTACCAACTACAGCAAAGAATAGGGAAGACTGTAGATCTGTGCGTAGGCTTGGTTCCCTTTCAATAGAGCACTGAGCAGATGAACTGGTAGGTTATATAAACTGTGCTAACAGTAAGAAGTGAGTAACCCAGCTGAGAAAAGGGTAGCTATCTAATACTTGCTCCAGATGGCTGTTTGCAGTCCTGCATTCTGGGATGCCAAGTCTGGAGCTTTCCCTGTTTCAAGTAGGCTTGCCAAGTCCCCCCCGGCCTGTTCCCCGCCGCCGGATCGGGCCCCAGGGGGAACCCCACCTCCAAAGTATGTGATGTGCACGTCACCCGGAAGTGACGTGACCACGCCGGGCACACTGGGGGCGGGGCCACGGTCATCCGAGGGAAAACTCTATGGTTTCCCCTCGGAGGGTCGTGGCCCCGCCCCCAGCGTACCCAGCATGATCACGTCACTTCCAGGGGACGTGGTTGCGGCGCGCGCGCACTCCAGGAAAGAGCCAGGAGTCCCCCGCTCCAGCGAAAGGTAATACTTGGCAACCCTAGTTTCAAGAAGCATATTTCACAGTGCAATCCTAAACAGTGTTAAACTTTTCAAAGTCCATTGAAGTTGATGGTCCTAGAAGTGTTTAACTCTGCTTAAATGGCATTGTTAGACCTTATATAAGAAAGTCTTCCTTTTCCGCTCACACCCATGAAGTGGTTCCTCCCCCTTTGCAGCTTCTTTCTCTACCTACCCCTGCCATCACCACTCCATGAGTAGCTGATGTACTGTTCTTCCTTCACTGCTTTTGGTAACACAAGCTTTAATGGGGATAATAGTAGCATAAAATGGTCACTACTGTTTCTCCTAGTGACTCTTTGATCATAAAATGGGAGCTGCTTGAGGGATTTTGGGGGTGACAGCCCATTTTCTGAAGAGCAGGATGCCTAGCACCAGTGCAGCAGCATAACCATTCTGGTACCAATAGCACTAAAATTATGAAAAAGTTGCAATGCAGGCATGCCTTCTACTGAGCATTGGAAACCACCTCAAAGGCCCCTGTAAAATCTGAAATGATCTCCCATTTCCTGATGGGAGCAACAGCAGAGCATGAATTTCTTTTGCTCTTTCTAGCTCCATTGCTGCTAAGGAAGTTAAAACCTATGAAAGAAGAGTCACAATCAACACCTTGTAGTGCTCCTCTCACTGGGAAAGGGGCTCATCTGTGTCCCCCGTGATGTCATAGGTGCTTCTGGATTACTTCCATTTCACAAGGAAAGAACACCTAGGGCATATTTTTTCTTGTGCTCCACTTCCTCTGAACGAACATGAAATTAAGCAAACTCCGAACGGAAGACAGGAGGGCCTGGCCTGATGTGATCCATGGGGTCGCAAAGAGTCGACTGTGCAACTGAGCAACAACTTCCTCTGATGCCAAGTACCCCCACTGTTAGGAGATAGGATAAGTACTCTGATTATGTTAACCCCCATCCCACACACAATAGAGGGTGGACAATTTAATCCCTTTCCCTCCAACCGAGCACAAACCGGGACAGCCTCAGCAATAATTATTTTTTTTTAGGAAGGGGGGTCTCAAATGGGAAGGGAATAAGCTTCTCCCTTCAGCTTCAAAATATTGTGGCTCTTGAATCCTTTCTGCTCAGAGCGCAATGAGGCTTCCTGAATTTACAGAGCCCAAGATAAACTCCTATAATGGCAGTGGAGGATGAAATCTAAGCATAGGTGATACAGCCACACTTCACGGAACCTCCAAGAGTAAGGAACGGCTTTTTTTTTTTTGCTTGCTAGAACCCGTCAAAGGCAACGAAAACTCCTCGTAACGGTCACACTCATTCAACTTTTCAAACGAACTTCTTTAACGCCCCTATGTCTACTACCCCCTCCCCCACGAGAAAGCCCGCGCGCCTCCAAAAGAAAGTTCTTATTGGCCAGTACTTTTACGCGCCGACGTAAGGGCGTACTATTTGCCTCTTTCCGGCTTTCTTTCAGCGCGAATAGGTGCCCGCCTCTTTGCTGCACAACTCTTTAAAGGAAAATGTGATTGGGTCTTTCAAGCGTCACTCCCGTCTTTTTCAAAACTCCCCGGCTGCACGAGAAAGAAAAACGATTGGCTTTCAGAGCTGTCACTCAAGAACGGGATATCTTTTGACGCAAAAGGTAGTGGTAGAACCACTTTAGGTCTTCGAACGGGGGCGTGGTCTGCGATACGGCGGTGGGCGGGCCGTTCAGCGTTTCCTTTGTGTGTGGGCACCAGTAACCGGCTGTGAGCGCGCTTGAGGAGGAGTAGAAGCCGCCATTTTGTGCGTGTGCGCTTCCTCTTCCCCACCCCCTTTCCCCGTTCTCTGCCGGTTAAACCAGGTCCGATCGCCGTGGCCGCCCTCCCGCCTGTGAGGAACGCCAGCCTCGTAGCGTCCGTCTTCGCTAGGCCGCAGCTGCCCCCTGCCGGCGGCAGCAGAGAGGAGGCGAGGAGGAGTTTGGCGGCCTCGGCTCCGGCATGGAGAACAACCAGCTGTGTAAGCTGTTCATCGGCGGCCTGAATGTGCAGACGACGGAGGCAGGGCTGCGAGAGCACTTCTCGGCCTACGGCACCCTGACCGACTGCGTGGTGGTGCTGAACCCGCAGACGAAGCGCTCCCGATGCTTCGGTTTCGTCACCTACTCGGCCGTGGAGGAGGCCGACGCGGCCATGGCTGCCTCTCCGCACGCCGTGGACGGCAACGCGGTCGAGCTGAAGCGCGCCGTCTCCCGCGAGGACTCGGCCCGGCCCGGCGCTCACGCGAAGGTGAAGAAGCTCTTCGTCGGAGGCCTCAAGGGGGACTTGGGCGAGAACGACCTGGTGGAGCACTTCAGCCAGTTCGGCCCCGTGGAGAAGGCCGAGATCATCTCTAACAAGCAGAGCGGCAAGAAGCGCGGCTTCGGCTTCGTCTACTTCCAGAACCACGACGCCGCCGACAAGGCCGCCGTGGTCAAGTTCCACCCCATCCAGGGTCACCGCGTGGAGGTCAAGAAGGCTGTGCCCAGGGAAGACATCCAGGCAGGAGGAGGAGGAGGCGGCGGAGGAGGAGGATCTTCCCGGTCGAGCTGGGGCGGCAGGGGACGGGGAAGGGGCGGCGGCGGCGGCGGCAACCGGGACCACAACGGGCTCTCCAAAGGCGGCGGCGGCTATAACAGTTACGGAGGCTACGGTGGAGGGGGCTACGGATCGTACGGCGGAGGCTCGTACGGAGGAGGAGGAGGCGGCGACTACGGCAACGGGTACGGCGGATTCGGCAGCTACAGCCAGCACCAGTCGTCTTACGGCCCCATGAAGAGCGGAGGCGGAGGGGGCGGCGGCTGGGGAGCCCGTAGTAACAGTGGACCTTACAGAGGTGGTTATGGCGGGGGAGGCTGCGGAGGAGGCCCCTTCTAAGCGGGAATTTCCCATAACCGCTGTGGGGAATACCAGTTTTGTCTGCATGGAGTATGCTCTCCGTTTGTACCGGGCCAGATTCTCAGTAGTCCCCTACTCTTCGCCTACGGGCACCTCCATATAAAAGGCTCCCATGATGCGGAGCAGCTCTCAAATTACCCCTGCTGGGGTCGCTCTGCTGCCTGTGCCACTTCTTTCTTCCCGAAGATGGACTGGGCTTCACACAACGATTTTGTGTTAGTCATTGATGGACTCTATTTTTTTATTGCTTGGACATTGGTCGTTTTTATACTAGGAACAAGATTGTTTTAATTTTGGTTTATTTGGGGATGGGAGGGAATGTTGTGCTGATTCTGGAGTAAAAACATGGGAGGGGAAAGGGGAATTAACTTTGTAAGGACTTGGATACCTACACATTTTTTTTCTACAAAATCTACTCTGATCCCATGGCTGTAAAAGGGGGGAAATCGTTTTTACATTTTTATTTTTTAAATAAATCATTGTGTTCATTGACCTTTACATGTCTTTTTTTCCTAGAGTTCATTCCGTACAGTTAAAACAAAGGCTCTTTGAGTCTGCTCAAACTTCTCCATGCATTTAGAGTAAAATACTTCATTTCTAGTACAGGCCACAATTACCTTTTTGGCTGTCCTGCTATTATTGGATTGTTACTTCAGAGTTATAGACCGATTTTTGAAATGCCCATTGGTGGATGAACTGTTTAAATACTTTATATGTCCACCATTTTGTAATTGGGCCATTTGCCTTGCTGACACAGTTGGTCTGTTTTTTTCTACAAGGCGTTTTCCATCAGCATATGTACTTCTAACACATTTAAAGCATCTGCTTTTTTCATATAAGTGTTCAAAACTTCAAATTGCCTAGTTTCACATTGTGTTATTTATTGGCTTGCTTGTAAACAATCCAGAGTTCTTTCCCTTCTATTAAATACTTTGTTTGCATAGCATCTGGTTGAAATGACTTAACTGTCTAAACTGTTCTCATTAAAAGAAACCAAGAATTACCTTTACAGTGCCATCTCCTGGCAGAATAGTAGAACATTGGAGTAAGGATCCCAGCAACAGGAAAAAATGGCCTTCAAATCTGTGACGTCTACTAGGTCTTTATATGGCAAAAGTCAAACCTACATGTCATCAAAGAATTTGTGGAACTTGGCTCAACTGATATAAATTTGAAATTCCCCCCAAAGTTAACGTTTTGAGTATATACTTAAACTGCCCAATCTTCCAATTTTGTGCTAGGTGATTGATAAATGAGCCAGTAACCTAGGTGCCAGTTGTAAAGCAAAATTTCTGTAGTCTGCTTGATGTATTTGTAGCCCTTTCACGCAGTAGAATTAAAGTTTGTTGTTCTATTAACAATGTTCTAGAGATAAACTTCCTTTCTGAATAGAAATATAGAATAGTTATGGATATTGCAAATAAAGAATTCAATTCTTCACATGCTTCAGTGAGTATATATGAAACGGCTAAATGTTACTGGATTTTAAGTACTCAGACTTCAACAGCATTGCAGCATTTTACAGTGCCTCTGTGCTACAGTTAAATTCTGGCTCAAAAGTATTTTTCATATGATTTATAACTTAAAGCATTTGACTCATCAGTCTTCCAGTAAAAATATACTGCAAGGATCAGTAACTAGTAAGTGTTTGAAATAGATGATCTGCTCTGAAAAAGAATCTGACTGCTTGCACAGTTATACAGAAATGCTCTAAAGAGCATGCAATTGTAGAGCAAACTAAAATGCAACTAATTTTACAAATTGGCTTGATTTTGTTACATGGGTTTTTGGATTTGTGAAAATGCAAATACAATTTTCAAGATCGCTTCAGTTGAAAGGGGGAGATGATAATCATAAGGCAGCTTCACAGTACCTTATGTTCTAAAGAAAGCATTTTTATAAAGCATTAAAGAACATTGAGTTAGCTGTGGTTTTGCAATGTGCACATAGCAAAATACTAATTCTTAATATGGCAGTGTATACTGATTTCATACTCTGCACAGAGTTTTACACACAAGAAAAGTAGGCTTTTAAAAACTGTGTCTAGCAATAGACATACTGTGTTGGAAATACTTGCAGTATCTGTGCTTGGAAGTAAGTTAGGATAGACTATCCATTAATGAGAAATACAAGTTCCAATACATCAACTGTTCCTGGATTTTCCAAATTTGTTCTTGCCCTTCCCTTTTAAAGGGAATGTAAAACTTCATGTAGATAGGGCAGAACTTTGGTGTCTGGACACTAGAATAGCTGGTGTACGGCTTCTATCTGTTTACTATAGAACACTTTTGCAATACGATGACGAGGCTTTTGAAAAGAATGTATATAAAGCTGCTAGGTTATCATGTGGGAAAGGCCAATGGTGCTAAAATGGAAAGAGGTTGAACTAGTGAAAAATCACAGTGTGAAGGAAGTGGTGTTATTAATACCAATTAACTATCTTCACTGATAAAGTAATAGTACTGGGCTTTTACTTGTAAATCTGTGTGCATGTCTAGAAGAGTACATCAGGCCGTACATAATAATACAGCCTCTGATGCGGAGGTGGTGTCTGAACATTTTCCTTTCCAAGTCTCAATAGCAAATGAGGAGTACTAAAATCTCTGGTAATTAATTTTTATAGTAGTGCTAATCCCTTCATGTGGTTGTGAGATGACCTTGATGACAGTACTTCATTGTGCCATAGAGTTCACTATACTTCTTCCAGCAAGAAAACACCAGAGCTACATCACTATCCTTGTCAAAAACAGCTGTGCCCATAAATTAACTTTCTGCTGCCATTATAGGCTTTCAAATGTAAGCAGTTGTGCCATGTGTAGTGTAACTAAAAACTATACTGAAAATGTTCACTGGTGGTACAGTAAGAAACCAGCGCGTTCAGCTGTCATTTCCAAGAGCCAACTTCTAGCATAATACTTTTGAAACAGTAAAGCACTTTATACTGAAAAACAGGCAGGTGATCTGATCCTTAGTACTTTATTCTTAGTCACGTATATTTCTAGTTTAGTCCAGTTTCCTTAAAGTAAAGCTATCTCTTAGAAACGTTTTTGAACAGAGGTGTATGCCAGCTACATAATATTGCAGCTTGTGCTTGAGTTTGATGCCAAGGTTACAAAGTGTACTGTTTTAAATATATCAAAGTATTTTTCTACACAAATCCTAGTATTGCAATATAAACAATACAAAACTCTCTGCTTCCTAGTTTGTTCTAGTAAATATATACACATGCCAAATATGGTGTAATCTGTTTTATATTGTGTGAAAGAAATCAGCTATCATTTCTGTGCTTCAGTAAGCTATGGCACCTGACAAGATATTTAACCACCAAAACTTGTAGCAGGTTAACACTACCTTGTGTTATATTTATGGATGGAACACAACTTGTTGAATACATCTAAATCCAAAAGTGGCTTTTAACATTATTTTAAGGGGGTCTTTTGTCATGATAACGATGCAGTTACCATTGGTAAGAGCTGTAGCTTTGTGAACACATCTTTAATGTTCACTGAAATCATCTGGAAGCTTGGTCATTTATGATATGAGTATTCAGTGGCAAGTTAATCTGGTGAGATGGTTTTTGGGGGAAAGCCATAGTTTTCCCTACTTAAAACATGGACTATTGTTCAGCCTACTAATTTAAAACTATCCCATCTACATATCCCCTGGTTACTTAGGAACATCATCTGTTCTCTTGCTTCCTCCTTTCCCCTTTCAATCTATCTTTATGAGTAAGAAATGCACTACAGCAGAACTAACCCCCTTGTGAAAAGATCAGATTGAAATTGATCAAGTTAGTTTAATGTCTGATGCGAGGATTCTCTGGATCTTAAACATGTTTGTATTTGGTAATCTGTATTAATAATACATGTTGGTAAATGGCTTCTCTGTATCTCCCAAATTAATGCTCTTTTTGGATTACCTTTAGTTTTGATGTCTCATATATGTCTCAGTAGTATATGTCCTGTCCAGCTGTCACGTTGGCTACAGTGAAAATGTCCTGTCACAATCTGGGGCTCTTGACAAGATGATATAATTACATACAAGAAGTAATTACACCAGTACAGACTACCCAGAAAGATAAGTATTTTACTCCTGAAAATTAAATCCTGAAGTAGATATACCTAGCATTCACGAATCTAACTATGCTGCAAAGTGAATGTCAAAACTTGCGTTTTTGACTTGTTAACATGCTGGCTATAGCGTTCCAGACTTACATTAAAATGTTACAAAATAGGTTGAGTAGTATGCACTGTAATGTGTATGTTCATAAAACAAAGACAAATGCACGTGTATTCATAGGACATATAACATAGGCTTATTTTTAGATGAAGACTTGATTTCATTTTAAAACCTGAGGGTGGTTTACTCAATCAACGATTTACTATAGCTCATTGTATCTGATATTTTATCACTGGCTTGTTTGTGCTTACAGTTAATGACTTGTTGGTATGAACCAGCCATCATACAAAATATAATTGAAAGACTTCAAGTAGTTAAAGGTCACCCAGTAATTTTATAAGTCAGTGGATTTCAACTAAAGAGTCCTACACATAACAAATCACTTCATTGCAGTAAATCTGTGGCACCTAATACTGAATCTTGAAAGTCACACAGATGGAAGCTAGAGCCAGGTGCTTGTAGTATGCCTGTGAAAGTGTATGCTAAATGGTCATGACTTTTCATTTAGTTTGCGTATCTTGTAAATATGCATCCATGTGGCTTAAAATGAATACTGGTTTGCACTTAAACCGTGAATTAAGCAGGACTCTGAACAGGCAGCATATATATATATATTAAATAACTGCTGAGAAGGCACCCCCTCGCATGGAGTTCAGTGACATCTGTGCTGTTCAATATAATGTATTGAACCTGGCCGCCAACCAGACTGTTTAAAGAAGGAATTCTCAAAGCAACAAGCATTTGAGAGGGTGGTGTTTTCTGTTAAGATTGCTACTTTCATTATCTATTAAAGGAAGCAGTAATTATTACAGAGACCTAGGCCTGCAATGGAACTCATCTGCAATAGTTGGTTTTACTTAGATGGTTCAATGCAGTATAAATGTTTTCCTTGTGAAATATGGAACTGGTGCAATGAAGTTGGAGTAGGGAAACCAGCGTTAATCTAATGTAGGTAAAGAAAAGAGCAGGAGTCCAGTAGCACCTTAAAGACTAAAAAAAAAATTGTGGCAGGGTATGAGCTTTTGTGGGTCACTCTTCAGTTCTTCAGAGCAGTGACTCATGAAAGTTCATATCCTGCCACAAATTTTGTTAGTGTTTAAGGTGCTACTGGGCCCTTGTTCTTTTCTACTGCTATAGACATGGCTACCCATCTTAATGTAGGTATAACACTCATAGTTCTTAGTTTCAGCCCGGGAATCTGTTGGAATAACTTGGTGCATTTCTGTCAAAACA